ATGAAGCTACTAAAGGCTTAGCTTACCACAGAACACTAAGGCGCGACTAAGAACTAATAAATGCGTAGGAAATAACTAAGCAGAGAAGGAAATTTTTCATGTTTTACCGTGTAAGGTTCACACGATAGTCACGAGCTTGACGACAGAAATGCAATGACTGATTCCTATTTAAAGGAATTATTGCACATATATAGAAAAATAACAGCAATTCACTCGCTGTGACGGAAAAGTTCATTTTGAAAAAAAAAATTGTTCGGACAATAGGCTTATACTGATAAAAAGTTTCAACAAAATTACACATTTAACTGCCAGGTAACTTACATTCTATGGCTGCATATATGATTTCCTTTAATTCTTATTGGGAATAAAAATCTGTTGCAATTTTCCGGTTAATCCAATCGACAGATGTTTAGATTTGCCATTACCACATTACTGCAGAATTCTGGTACAAGTTGTATAAAATGTAATCATTCCGCTGCGCAAGGGATCTAATTCTATGTTAAATTTTGAGACAAGGAATCAAATTTCCTTATAAATACGCACATTGAATTCGTCACTAAAATAGAAAACTATACACATATTCGTTACTTCTAGACGTTTTCAAGTCCGTAAAGTAACGCCTCCTTACTCTTGCTTGCGTTAGCAGCCAGCCTCGGCAAGCCTATGTAACCTAATCCTTTACTGCTTCTGCTCACGGATTTTCTAAAGCGCGAGTTAGTAATTTTGTCGAGCATCTTGCGCACTTCGCTCACGATGAGCACGGACGAGGTAAGGCATACCAAGTACAGCCAGTCGGACAAGTGCAGCGCCTCGGTCTGGAATATCCATTGCAGGAAAGGCAGATATACGACGGCTTGCAGACAAGCCAGGGTAGCAGAGAGGGCGATGAACAGATACCAGTTGGATAAGAAGCCCAGCTCGAAGATGCTCTTCGTGGCGCTGCGACACGACATCGCATTGAACATGTCGAAGAGCACGAAGCATGAGAAGGTCATGGTCGTGTCTCGTGCCGTCACGACCCCGTCCAGCATCTCGGACCTGCAAGATCAAATACTGCAGTTGAGGCAACAGTAAAACTTGGCCTAATGGTGCACACAATAGGAGAATATTAAGATACGAATAGAATTTGCAATAAGTAATATCTTTGGTAGAAATTACTTCCAAAAGAATTAATTTCGCCAATCATTGAAAAATAATTTGGCCTTATGACTTCTGCTTTAACTCTGAAATCCTCATGGTTTTCACGATAAGCTATAAACACGAACACGTTGGAGAATGTATGACCTGAAGACCCATAGCGTGCCGATGATGATGTCATGGTATTCACGATAAGCCATAAACACGAACACGTTGGAGAATGTATGACCTGAAGACCCATAGCCTGCCAACGATGTCATGGTATTCACGATAAGCTATAAACACGAACACGTAGGAGAATGTATGACCTGAAGACCCATAGCCTGTCTCTTATACACATCTAGATGTGTATAAGAGACAGGGTCAAAGACGTCAGCCAACAATGACTGATAGGGTCAAAGACGTCAGCCAACAATGACTGATAGGGTCAAAGACGTCAGCCAACAATGACTGATAGGGTCAAAGACGTCAGCCAACAATGACTGATAGGGTCAAAGACGTCAGCCAACAATGACTGATAGGGTCAAAGNTTAGGAGCAAATTTGTGCCATATATTGAGGAGATAATATTTTATGCCGAATTACAACAATAAATAATAATATTTAAAAGAAATGACTTATTAGTGAAGTTTATTACTTGTAAGTGTAGACACTTCGTAAATGAGCATAAAAATAAGACGATGTGTGGCTCACACGAATGACATCGGTGACGCGATGCACACCAACCGACCGGCAGTTGAGAGCCTCGTGCAACTTATTTGCTCAGAGGCAGTTTATGGAGATGGTCGTTCGAAACGATGATCTAAGTAAGTGTTCTAGCTCTGCCGCTAGATTGCAGTCTAAAGCATTGTTGAATTATATATTAATTCAGCCATGGTCTAACCGTCTAAAGTACTTATATATATCAACGGAAGGACAGACAAATAATAAATTTTCAAGTAGATCTGTCCCAGGAGATTCGGGTTACGCGAAAAGCTGGTCGCATCAACAATTAGAATAGAATAGAAGTGTCGGCACTGACGAAATCGGCCCATGACCTGTTGCCGATTCTTGTACTGTTAATTCCACAAGGAATCCGGCCTTTTGAACCCGATCATAACTGTCGATGATTTAACTACAATTTCCATTTAAATCATATGTCTCGATGGAATGCTGGCATCTTGCATAGCGTTTGTCTAAAAAAAAACATCAAAAAACTATACATTTATCGGTAATTGCTGACCCTATCGCGATCTTTATAAATATCGTAAAGAATTTTCCACCAATCAGGTCACTTGACCAGATTGGTGGACACCGTCGCTCATCCGACGAGCTAGAAAGAAAAGACCACAAGTGGTTTTCAAATTAATTTTAGTACAGACGAATTTGCGCAACGTTCTTCAGGACTTTAGTTTGTTCTTCAAATGTTGGAGCTTGTAAGAAAAAAGTTGTATAAAAGGTGTGGATCTGAACAGCATAGCATTTAATAGGCCGCTTTAAATGTTGACTACACATTAGAATAAATATGTATCACTAGGTACGCTGTTCATGAACGCGTCGGTACACATATGTACCACTAAGTACGCTGTTCATGGACGCGTTGGTACACATATGTACCACTATGCGCTGTTCATGGCCGCGTTGGTACACATATGTACCACTAGGTACGTTGTTCATGGACGTGTTGGTACACATATGTACCACTAGGTACGCTGTTCATGGACGCGTTGGTGCACATATGTACCACTAGGTACGCTGTTCATGGGCGCGTTGGTGCGCATATGTACCACTAGGTACGCTGTTCATGGACGCGTTGGTACACATATGTACCACTAGGTACGCTGTTCATGGACGCGTTGGTGTACCACTATGCGCTGTTCATGGCCGCGTTGGTACACATATGTACCACTAGCTGTTCATGGACGCGTTGGTACACATATGTACCACTAGGTACGCTGTTCATGGACGCGTTGGTGCACATATGTACCACTAGGTACGCTGTTCATGGACGCGTAAGTCCAACTCTGTTTTTTTTTACTTCAGTTTTTGAAAATATTTTTGGGCTGCTCACGAAAGTTTAACCGAACTTTTAAGGCCTAAAACAATGAAGAAGGAAGAAAACACATCAAACGCAGGTAATTGGAGAATTTAATATTTTGATGTTTAAAATTCAAATAGAAAATTATTAATTGATCCTTACTAAGGCGTCTTCACTTCAACTAGAAAAAAATATGTATGCATCTTCAGTTAAGTTTTGAATACTTTAAGTTGATATTTCGGCGATGAACATTAACATTAATATCAGAATGGGTATTTCTAGTGGTTGTAAAATTTTGCCAGTGTTCCAAATTTTTTGCAACTTCAGCGGCTTTACAGAGACGATGATGTCTCTTGCATTGAGTTCAGCGCCTAGTGCTCTGAAGGCTCTATACCTGCAACATTCAAGATTTAATTGAGAGTTGTTCTCCTAATAACCGCTACAATATAACCGCTATATGCAAATCTCGATAACGTCACTGAACGACACATGCTTGGGCCGACGTAGTCAAATAGTTTAGGTATTAAACAATATTAATGAAATCAATATCAAGGTTCAATGGAATGATTGAACTAAAACTAGTGAAATGAAAAACAGTGGCCTGATCTAGCACATGCATTAAGTAAAGTGAGGACATTAATGTTAATAAATAATAATGTAAAGAGAAACTTGCAATAGGAGTGAGGCCCGATGCAAGTTATGGACAAATGAGAAAATTGAAATCATAAATATCAATATTACTGAAGAGGAGACACGCACAGATTCAACCCACTGCCGCCTCACATGAGTAACCGGAGCAATATTGTCACAAGCCTACTTCCCTAAAAGGATACGTTCTAGTGAGCGCAAAATGACTTGCACTGATGGTTGCCGCCACGTACAACAATTTAATAATGTTCTCTGTTGCGTACAAACGTCCTCAGGTTGCTACACTCAATAGTTTACGTATAATTTGCCGCCACGTACGACAACTTTAAAATGTTCTCTGTTGCGTACAAACGTCCTCAGGTTGCTACACTCAATAGTTTACGTATAATTTGCCGCCACGTACGACAACTTTAAAATGTTCTCTGTTGCGTACAAACGTCCTCAGGTTGCTACACTCAATAGTTTACGTATAATTTAAGCTGAAAGTTATGTTCCCGGACTGTGACATACGGCGGTAGAGGGTTAAAATGTTCTCTGTTGCGTACAAACGTCCTCAGGTTACTACACTCAATAGTTTACGTATAATTTAAGTTGAAAGTTATGTTCCCGGAGAGTGATATACGGCGGTAGAGGGTTAAGTCATGATCTCAGAACCGCGACAAAAATCTGATCCTTACGAATAGCAACAAATAAAATGAATTGAACACAATAATTCTCCCCGAATTATGCCCCTAATCAACAATCAAAATAAATAATTCACTTAAATAAACATTATACCTGATACATTAGCTGGGTACATTCATTACATTTTCCATATTAAACAATAATTATTCCTAGTTTCAATGTATCTTTACACTACGTTCACTAGAATTGATCTTCTGAATCAATTATACACACTTACTCTTCAATAATGTAGTATTTTTTTTTTTTGTACAAATAAAATTTCTTCCTAGCAGAACATGAAAGAAAGAAGTAATTTAGATAAAATGTGCAATACTGCTGTAATTTTTCATGAGAGAGGATATCAAGGATTCGTACAACGCAAGTCCAAACATTAACACTTAGTCGCGCTAGTAACCATAGCAGCGTCACTATAATTGTCCGCACTATGAAGATATAAACATTTTGTTCGTTTCTGTGGTAGTGGAGCTCGAAATCAAACTTCTTCAGTTTAATTAGACAGGCTTTCTTCAACATATGTATTAAAAAGAATATATCTTCATATGTCTCTAATCTTTATGCTGAGTGAAGATTTCTAGCATTACTATGTCCAATGTAACTAATATATAGTAAATAAGTAGTTTTAAAATAATACCTTCATTTAAACAGAGCCTATTGGAGACGGGTTACGCTGAAACGCAGAGCGTTGCCGTTCGCAAGAAATCTTCAACTGAAACAACGATTAAGCGACACTCAATGCTGGCAGCGCAGCCTAGAACAAGACTCAACAAGACTGATAAAAATATCCGTTGAAATATACAGTAAGAAATAATGAAATACAATCAAGAACACAATCATACACAATGAAATACAATCATGCACTTGAGTTTGCGTAGCGCGGTAAGTCGTGCACCGTGGAAGTAACTCTACATAACGAAGCGATGCGGCTGAAAGGATGAGATTTGACATTTAAATTAGGTCATAATAAAATACATTAATAATGCCTGATAAGTACCTAACGCAGGCATGCTAAAGCGATCATAAAGTGTAGTTTCTGATCAAAATGTATAAAGAGCAGAGATATAATGTCAACTTCTAGCTGATAATTCTCAACGAATTTCACCAATATGTACCCATTGCTGCCAATTCCATCACAAATTATGGAAGAATTTCTTCATTTTTACAAAAATTTAATAAAATACATAGATATCGTTCGTTGGCATCAAAATTAAAAATATTCATGTCTAAAATTAATACTTGTGCATAGATGGAACGTCAGAGAATTACACTGAAGGCGAGAGAACAGTGCATTGTTATCCTCGCAAGGGAGCGCGAGGATAACAATCTGCCTAAAGCTGAGAACAATGACAACAAGACACGATTTGTTAGCTATAATATTAAGGATCGGATTAAGTAATTAACATGAGGCAGCGATATGGTCTATTATAACAGCAACGGAGCTAATACAATGTGGGGGTGTTTATTCATGAATTAGACAACATAAACGTTAACGATCGTTGACAATCATTAGGAACACTTTGCATGAAACGCCACAACATTTATTCAATGTCATTATTCGCTTACCTCTTCTCATCATTTGTAACCAAAGCTTATTAAAATTAGAAATTTCATTCTGTACATGTATAACCAGTCAATTGTACATCAATTGTTACTTGCCCTGAATCATTCAGAAAACGAAGCATAAAAAATCATTGCAATGATTTTTTTTGAAAAACGCGTGAAAGCTCCTAGTATAATGTTTCGTAAACTAAACGCAGAGTGACCAATATTACAGTGAACAGCAATTTGCTATAAAATTTAAACATAAATAATGTTGTTTTAGCCATAACTTCCTGAAAACGTCGTCACGATTATTTCCAAGAGTCAACACGATTAAAGATAGCTGAGGATCTTAACCTTGTGCATCGAAATAAAAATATCTACCGTCATTTCGCTAATTATTCTGGGATATTCTCAATGTTAATTAAAATTGAATAATTGGAAATAATTCATACGAATAATTTGATAATTAATATCCATATTAATTGGGTAATTAATAACCAAGAACGCCTCAAGATTCAAATTATATAAAAAAATGAGGGAAATGTGATCAAGGTAAGTAATAACTTAGTACTTCTCATGCGACAGAGTAACTCTTGGAGTAACTCCCACTAATACTGCATATTAATCGTTGATATATGATACTGATTGCTGATATATGATACTGAATGCTGATATATGATACTGATTGCTGATATATGATACTGAATGCTGATATATGATACTGATTGCTGATATATGATACTGATTGCATTACATTTGGTATACCGCACAAGACTTGAGGTTGCACGCGGTATAGTCGTTGTAAATTGAGCCCTCAGAGTAATTAATGAGACGCTATCCATAATAGCGATGAACTTTCGCTTTTATATGGGTCAATTTAACCCAGTTTGGCTCGGTAAAAGGACGTATCAGTGCTACCCGCTGCAAGTGTGTCACTATTTAGACAACGTGACCCGTTCATTTTTCTCAGTATGGTTATATTATATTGTGTTGGGCAGTGAATAATTTTTTTCAGTAAAATATGAGTAAGTATTAATCTTTGATGACTAAGATGGTCTATTATCACTTAGCCTCACAAAACTGAGTCAAGATGACACACACAAGGTCACATATTACATCGCTATTTATTTGGACCAATTCCCATTCGTGAATATTTCAAAGAACATCGCAAATTTCGGTATCGAAACAAAAATAAAATGTTCCTTCTGTGAAAAGTATTACACGTTAAGATAATCATTGCACGTGTTTTTTAAAAAAAATGTTTGAAAAAAATGATGACACAATGAATTTTAGCTTAAATTATTTACAATAAAAATTGGAATTGCACTAAGAATTCATGGTTAATGCCGTCATTAATGCATAATAAAACCTATAGCGCAATATAGACAAACAAAATATACGAGCTACATACAGTGCAGGCAGAAGATACATACAGTGCAGGCAGAAGATACATACAGTGCTGGCAGAAGATACATACAGTGCAGGCAGAAGATACATACAATTGCATACATCGTGTTGACAATTACATCGTTAAGGAAACTAATTAACCACACAAACTATTGCATCAAATCGTAGCGGCTACATACATAATATCAATTGAATTATTCATTAACTTAAAATAATGCGAACAAACTCAAGCAGATAGAAAAGTTAAACCTAGAGCAAGTGGATGGAAATATGAAAACATTTAATAATCAGATTGACACGGCATAGAAAAAACGTAACTTTAAATAACAGAGAGAAAACGAATATGTTTTATACGTGCTTGTATACCTCCCTACTAAGCTCTGTTCTCGACTACTATATGAAGCTACTAAAGGCTTAGCTTACCACAGAACACTAAGGCGCGACTAAGAACTAATAAATGCGTAGGAAATAACTAAGCAGAGAAGGAAATTGACATCGCATTGAACATGTCGAAGAGCACGAAGCATGAGAAGGTCATGGTCGTGTCTCGTGCCGTCACGACCCCGTCCAGCATCTCGGACCTGCAAGATCAAATACTGCAGTTGAGGCAACAGTAAAACTTGGCCTAATGGTGCACACAATAGGAGAATATTAAGATACGAATAGAATTTGCAATAAGTAATATCTTTGGTAGAAATTACTTCCAAAAGAATTAATTTCGCCAATCATTGAAAAATAATTTGGCCTTATGACTTCTGCTTTAACTCTGAAATCCTCATGGTTTTCACGATAAGCTATAAACACGAACACGTTGGAGAATGTATGACCTGAAGACCCATAGCGTGCCGATGATGATGTCATGGTATTCACGATAAGCCATAAACACGAACACGTAGGAGAATGTATGACCTGAAGACCCATAGCCTGCCAACGATGTCATGGTATTCACGATAAGCTATAAACACGAACACGTAGGAGAATGTATGACCTGAAGACCCATAGCGTGCCAACGATGTCATGGTATTCACGTTAAGCCATAAACACGAACACGTAGCAGAATGTATGACCTGAAGACCCATAGCGTGCCGATGATGATGTCATGGTATTCACGATAAGCCATAAAACACGTCATGGTATTCACGATAAGCCATAAACACGAACACGTAGGAGAACGTATGACCTGAAGACCCATAGCGTGCCGATGATGATGACGACGGCAGAGATGACGCAGTTGCGGATGAGAGTCGGGGTGATGAGGTCCTTGCTAGTGTCGCGGGGCGGCTGCCTGGCGATGTCCGCATCAATGAGCTCCATCCCCAGCGTCAGTGCCGGCGGTCCGTCCATGATCACATTGATCAGCAGGATCTGACGAACAGAAATATTAGAACTAATCGCACTGCAGTCTTCAGAATATACGTAAATGAGGTGATAAATAACCATGAAAATAACCATAAGATTATAGGAAAATTTATACGTTTCACTAACAAACTTACGACTACGACGACTTACGACGTTTCAACTAACAAACAAACGAAGTTAACACTGAAAAACGAAATCTGTCACCGGTGAAATTTAAAATTACATATACGTAAAAAAATAACCATGAAAATAACCATAAGATTACAGTAAAATTTAGACTTCTCACTTAAAACATACACGAAGTTAACACTGAAAAACGAAATCTATCATGATGAAATTAAAAATTACATTTACGTAAAACTTTTTTACATGTAGTTTCCGGAACTATATTGTTATTTCTGCATGAGAATTTTAAATAGCCTTAAACATCGTTATTTTTTAACATGTTTTAAACAATGAAAACGCAACATATTTTTATGTTTTATTGTTTATTCTTGCAGCTAATTGATATTTTATCATTGCACAGATGTTTTTTTCGTAAATTTTTGTGTCTATCACCTAACCTATAAATGGCAAACCTCTTTGGCTTTCAAAGAGGCCAAATTGTTGGTGTTGTAGCACCAAACAGGTGCTAGTGTAACAGAAACTTCAGGAATGCCTGACGTTTCTAGAGGTACTGTCTCGAAATTGATGACTGCTTTTAAAAGAGAAGGAGAAACGTCCTTAGCACAGCACAGGTCTGGCCGAAAGTCGAAGTTGTCTGAGAAAGACCGACGTTAACTAAATCGAATTGTGAGGGACAATCCAAAGACCACGGCTGTTAAAATTATTTTGTCTAACCTCTGTATGTTATATGTATATATTGTACCAACAATTTTTATATAAACGTATAAATATTCATGTGAAGTACGGTATTTTGCATGTTTCATTTCAAGTTTAATTTAGCTAGTAAAAAAATGGCATCATTTATCAAAAAAAAGTGGTCTAAGTTACCCCATTTTACGGTACAGAAAAACAATGGGAAAAAAGAAAGGAAAGGTAAGAAATACGTAATGGCCTCACCTGCATGGGGTTGAGAGGGCTGGGGAGGCCGAAGAGGGTGGAGAGGGCGATGAGGCTCAGCGCCACGATGCTGGTGCTCACTTGGAACTGAACGAAGTTGCTGATGTTGTGGAAGATGCACTTGCCTTCTTCTATGGCGGCTCTGTAACGTCATATTCTTTGTTGCAGGGCAGTGTAAAATGCGATACGAAACTTTCGACATTAAAATCTTCTATGGTGGCCCTGTAACACCATATTATTTGTTGCAGGGCAGTGTAAAATGCGATACGAAACTTTCGACATTAAAATCTTCTATAGCGGCCCTGTAACGCCATATTCTATGTTGCAGGGCAGTGTAAAATGCGATACGAAACTTTCGACATTAAAATCTTCTATGGCGGCCCTGTAACGTCATATTCTTTGTTGCAAGGCAGTGCAAAACGCGATACGAAACTTTCGACATTAAAATCTTCTATAGCGGCCCTGTAACGCCATATTCTTTGTTGCGGAGCAGTGTAAAACGCGATACGAAACTTTCGATATGACAAGTGCAAATGCCATTAATAAGGCGATGATCCATCATAGGAGAAAATCTATTTATCTAACCGTGGAGAGGAAGGTTCTTAAGAAAATAAATAAAATATGATACCAAGGCCCATAAAGAGGGATATCTTTGTAATTCGGAGTTTCATAGACAATAAGTTGATGAAAATGGAAATAAAAATTGATATTGTGTTCACATCAAGTTTGAACAATGGATAAAAATTAAGTGCCAGTTGTTAATAGACAGATTGTAAAGAAGACTATCAACTTGATCACTCTGAGGATTGTGGCAACTTTGTAGCGATCTCGAAACGAATAAAGGAACGGTAACGAATTAGAAGATGAATAAAAAGTATAACTGAGCACTCACTGCAGTTAGTGACTGAGAGCGCATTTTCTCGCCGACGAAAACGTGGTCACGGACGGACGGATAGACAGACGGGCGGACGGACATGGCGAGCACAATAGCGCCTTTTTCAATAAATAAGAAATTGCGCTAAAAAGGTAAGAAGACGAATAAAGGAACGGTAACGAATAAGAAGACGAATAAAGGAAAGGTAACAAGCGTGAGCACGGTTACCAGTAACCATAAGTAACCGATGGTCACTACCACTCACAGAATAGTAGCAAAGTTATCGTCATTAAGGATCATGTCTGCAGCCTCCTTGCTGACCGCAGAGCCCATCTTGCCCATGGCGATGCCGATGTTGGCGCGCTTCAGAGCCACGACTAGCAACCTGAGGACGTTTGTACGCAGCAGAAAACATTTTAAAGTTGTCATACGTGGCGGCAACCATCAGTGCAAGTCATTTTGCGCTCACTAGAACGTATCCTTTATGGGAAGTAGGCTTGTGACAATATTGCTCCGGTTACTCGTGTCAGGCAGTAGAGGGTTAAACAAGGAATTGATCGACGATATGAGGAATTGCCTATTGAAATCCTCATATGGAAAGATATGAAAGCCTATTGAGAGTGACCAAAGAAGTTACAGACTTCAGTAACAGTTGCTACTCACTTTCACAATACGGAGCTTATGTCTCGGTGCGACCCTGTAGAAGACAGTAGCCTCCCGCATGATGGCCGCCAGCTGGTTGTCGTCAACGCTATCCAGGTGGTTGCCAGAGAACACACCACCTGGAGAAACCTGGAAAATAAACAGAGTTTGAAGCAAATAAAACTATCTATTGAATATTACTCTGGCACTGCTATTAACAGGGTGCGTACCGGTAGTCAGAAAAAAAATCCATGACTTTTCCATGACCTGGTTCTAGTAATCTTTGAATGTTAACCGAAAAGAAAGTATTCGGCGCAGCAGAACCATACTTTGCCAAAACATGTACAAGATGTGTATCAAACCTACCCATCCACTTGTATATTTATTTGATCTTACAATTTAATTATGAATCCATTTTTCTACGCTGGTTCCAAATGGAACCGCTCGGCATTAATGGGTTAACACATGCAGCACAGAAAAACAATTCATTTTTTTCTTCATTTATTTGCAAATTCCATGACTTTCCATAGCCTGAAATGAAATTCCATGACGTTCCAGGTTTTCCATGACCGGTACGCACCCTGTATTAAGTAGATCATATCCCGTCAACGCAGCCACAATCGTGGCAATCAAACCTTCTCTCAACGGCGAGGGACGAGTGGCATAGAGAACTCAGTAGCAAATAAATAAATGTAAGCTTTTGATAACTTATTGCCTTCCAAGAGTTGAGCTCACAACTTTACCTAAAAAAAACAAGATTAATTTCGTGAAAATCCTCCGAATTTGCATCCCAACGATGAAGTATGAAGGCCCTGTTTGTAATACAATATTCTTTGCGCTCAAGATATTTTATATTTTAAGTAAAATATTCCTATAGTTATTAATTACCGGTATACTCTATACGTTAATTCCTGTCGTTATTAATGTTAGCTATACGTTAATTTCTAGCGTTACATCGTTAATTGCTATCGTCATTAATTATACGTTGATTCCTATCGCCATTAATGATTGTGATGTCAAGCACAGCCTTAAATACGTACGTGCATGCCAACAGCCCTGGCGACAGCACACGCGGTCTCCATGGCGTCGCCGGTGACCATCTTAACGTTAACTCCTGTGCTGTAGAGCACGTCTAGGGCGTGAGCCACGGCCTCCCGTGGGGGGTCCTGTATGCCCACAAGCCCTTGGTACACCAGCGACTGCAGCGAGCTGCCTCGGGCCAGGCAAACAACTGAAAAAAATATTCAAGTATAGGATTTACGATTTATTCAGAACTAGAATGATTAGAAATGGCTTCTGAAGGTCACAAAACTAGGGTGATTAAAAGGGGGTTTTTCAAGGTTTCACTGGAAATTCAATTTTATTTCAATGTAAATTAAGGTTCTTCTTTTGGTTTGCTAGAGATTTTTTTCAGGGACGGTTATTCGACGGTCGAACGATCTCATAAAGGGCTAAAATGCCTAATGCCGTTAACAGTGGTCAAAATAAACCCAAAAATTAAATCGTCGCAGTCACAAATGTCGTTCTCGTGCGACGTGGTTAGTAGCCTTGACTGTAGATGACAAAGGGTAAAATTTGGATATTTATTCATTAGATTATCTTAAATGTGAGCATGGCGGGCTGATGGGCATTAGCCAATCAAGGCTAGGTAGTGGGTGAGGTTGCTAGTTAGGGAAGGTTCTTATATCTTTAATTTGCTATATCACAAGTTCATCAGGAATTTAAAAGCAAAGTGAACGTCAAGGAAAACAAAAACGTCTCCGAAAGCAAAATAAAACGTCTCTGAAAGAAAAATAAAACGTCAATGAAAGTAAAATAAAACGTGTATGAAAGTAAAATAGAACGTCACCGAAAGTAAAAGAAAACGCCTGCGAAAGTAAAATATAACGTCTCGGAAAATAAAGCAAAATAAACGTCAAGTAAAAAAAAAAAAAAAATGTAAACATTGCGTTAAGTTCTTCTTATAATACATAAACATATTTATTTACGTTCGTGCAATATATGCATTAAGGCGAATCTAATCAACATCACTCGACGCTGCCCTTCACCAGCCACTCCACGGCGCCCGTCTGCAATAAACAAACTTTTTGAGTTTTCCTATTTAAATATCTTACATTCTAAATTTATTGCTTTAGCCTATAGGGGAAACTATTTCATGTTGTTACAGTCCACGATGTAATATACCGCACCTGTGATGTTCGAAGGCTTCATGCGTTCAGTTCTTCTTCTAATACAAAAACATATTTTGTTACGGTCGTGCAATATGCATTAACATGAATCTAATCAACATCTTAACCAGTCACTACACGGAACCCGTCTGCAGTAAACATTGCGTTAAGATCTTATTTTTAACACACAAACATATTTATTTACGTTCGTGCAACATGCATTACCGCGAATCTAATCAAATCACAATTTTGATGCACTTGTGTACATGCATTTCATGTATGGTAATGGAAAGTCGAGGGATTGGTTCCTGTAAATTATATTTTTTATCAGTTGACAAAATTTGTTAGTTATAATGAACATTTTTTCTCTAATATCTCAAATATTTTTCTTCATATGCAGAAGTAAATTGTCTACCGATACATTTGAGTGTCGATGGATTGCCAAAATTCCATAAGAAATAACAAATAAATAAAATAAACATCTTCATGCAGAGTCAGTCCCTGATTATAGGTAGGAATAACACAGTGGCACATGTGTAACTCAACCTTCGAAACTAAAGCAGAACAATTATTTTCCACATTGAATGTAAGTATAGAGTAGCAGCTCCGTGTGGTGTTCACAGAGCCGTCGAGTCGATTAAATCAACGTCTGGTCAACGATCAAATCAACGTCTGGTCAACGATCAAATCAACGTCTGGTCAACGATCAAATCAACGTCTGGTCAACGATCAAATCAACATAATCACCGCACATTTTAACTCATAACAAGATAAATTTACAGGCGATCAAACCATGCATGCAGCAGACACTTCAGACGCACCTCTTTGTGCTGGACTTTAACAGCCATTTTCTTGGTGTCTGAACTGAAAGGAATTTCTTCCAGTCGCACGTATTTGTCCGCGGCGCTGTACAGCCCGTGCTGTGGAAGCATCAGAAACAACATTATAATATTTTCCAACAAATAAATATAATGCAGTTTGGCCATTTACTATGAATATATTGATCAATGAATGGTAATCTAAAGCAAATTCAGCCGAAAAATTGATACATTTTTTGAGGAGCATGATTCGAAAAGAAAAATTCCTCGCGCGTCTCTCGATTAGTTTATATAGTTTGATTATGAAATGAACTGCAGATGGTGCAGGATTACCTAACTGCTAATAGGGTCGCGGCACTAGTTTTTGCTTGCAACAAACGTAACTTGAAAGGTTCTTTTGAGCCCTTGGGCTTGTTGCTCCGGTGAATTTCAATGTACCTATAAGTTACAAACCTTTTTGGGCCAAGACTTGACAAGACTTGACTACCGATGATCGTCTGATAGTCCAATCCGACTTGATGTCAAAATGTCACATAGTTTCCACCAAAATTATCTGCCTTTAAAATTATGTCAGCCTTTCATTCTGACTTGATGTAAAGATAACACATAATTTCCACCAGAAAAATATCTGCCTTCAAAATTATGTCTGCCTTTCATTCTGACTTGATGTCAAGATATCGCATAATTTCCACCATAAAATATAACTCAGTACTCACTGCAGTGAGTACTGAGTTATATTCTTAATTAATTCTTAGCTCCTAAATTCATAGGCTAAACGCAAAAATAGTTCACGCAAAAATTCAGCCATAATTTCTCCAAAATAATGCCCACGAAAAATAATGGCTTAATATCCGGGTAATGCTAAAAACCGATATAATTTTATTACTTCTATGAATATTTCTTTCAAAAAACAATAATGTCTTTTAAATAAATATGTTTAAAATAAATAAATAAATATATTTTTCAATGTTTTTGTAAACAAATTTTCTACACTGCAGAGAGCAGTCTGACCTCTGAGACCATGGCGCGCGTGCTGCTGGGCAGTGCTGATGATGGCGGCTTTAGTGTTGGGTGAGAGCGGCAGACTGATATGTTTAAAATAAATATATTTTTCAATGTTTTTTTTTTGTAAACAAATTTTCTACACTGCAGTAAGAAGTCAGACCTCTGAGACCATGGCGCGCATGCTGCTGGGCAGTGCTGATGATGGCGGCTTTAGTGTTGGGTGAGAGCGGCAGACTGGAGCTGCCCTGATGGTACTGAGCACAGTCCTCCATCAGCACCTCAACGCTGCCCTTCACCAGCCACTCCACGGCGCCCGTCTGTAGTAAACATTGCGTTAAGATCTTCTTATAATACATAAACATATTTATTTACGTTCGTGCAAAATGTGCATTGAACGCTAATCTAATCANAATCACATCACTCGGCGCGCCCGTCTGCAGTAAACATGGCGTTAAGTTCTTCTTATAATAAACAAACATATTTATTAACGCTCGTGTAATATGCATTACCGTGAATCTAATCAACATCACAATTTAGATGCTGTTGTGTACAGGCATTTTATGTATTGTAATAGAATGTTGAGGGATTGGTTCTTGTAAATTATCTTTTTTTGATCAGTTGACAAATATTTTTTTAGTTGTCATGAATATTTCTTACCTATCATCTCAAGAATTTTTCTCCTTATGCAGAAGCAAATTCATCTACCGAGACAATTGAGTTCTGATGGATTGCAAGAATTTCTTAAGAAACCACAAATAAATAAACTACCGAGACAATTGAGCGTCGATGGATTGCAAAAATTAGTGAAGAAATAACGAAAGGATAAAGTAAAAAGTTTAGTGAAGAGTCAGGTAGTCAGTTTATAGGTAGGAATAACACAGTAGCGCATGTGTAACTCAACCTTCTAAACTAAAGCAGAATAAATAATTTTAAAATTGAATGTTAGTAGTATAGAGTAGCAGCTTCGTGTGGCGTTCATAGAGCCGTCGAATCGATCAAATCAACGTCTGGTCAACGATCAAATCAACGTAATTACCGCACATTTCAACTCGTAACAAGATAACCTTACAGGCGATCAAACCATGCATGCAGCAGACACTTCAGACGCACCTCTTTGTGCTGGACTTTAACAGCCATTTTCTTGGTGTCAGAACTGAAAGGAATTTCTTCCAGGCGCACGTATTTGTCCGCGGTGCTGTATAGCCCGTGCTGTAGAGAATAAAAAAAAAACAACATAATATTTTCGCACAGATAAATATAATGCAGTTTAGATATTTACTATGAATATATTGATTAATGAATGGTAATCCAAAGCAAATTCAGGTAATCCAAAGCAAATTCAGGTAATCCAAAGCAAATTCAGGCAATCCAAAGCAAATTCAGGNAGACAGACGGATAGACAGACGGACGGACATGGCGAGCACAATAGTGCATTTTTTTCATAAATGAGAAAATGCGCTAAAAAAGCGCAGTTGTTGGAGGCATGAAGCAGCCAGTCTCGTGCCCACGTACCTTGAGAGCCGCTACCAGCAGAGCGCCCTCGGTCGGCTGCCCCAGTAGCTGTCCCGCCACCAGCTGAGCGTTGTTGCACAGGAGGCCTGTCACCAACAGGGAATCTTTCAGCTTCTATTTCATTGTATCACTACACTTTGTGTGCTAACGGTGACATGATTTACAAGTCCTTCAGATGTGGATAGCAATGACCACGGTTAATGTGTCAGCTGAAGACCGGATGGTTATTTCTATTCTGCTTGAGAAAGTCAAGTTGTTGTAAATACAGATCCTCAAGTGGTTGAATACAGTGAAGTGAAGTGAATACACAGAAAGTCAAGTGGCTGTGAATACAGCAAATAAAATTGACTTCAGCTATCGTAGCCCTTTAGTGACCTAAGAGTGGTAAGCCATTAGCCTGAGTTTCGTGAAATTCTGATTCTGTTCCATCAAAATCTAGTCCTGTTCATCATCCAGGCTCACCGGTCTCGAGCAACTTGGTGACGGCGTCGTTCGCCTTTTGTGAGTATCCTGAGGTGAAGTGGAGGCCCTTGCCGCTGTCCACGTCGTAGCCCACGCCGCTGAAGGTGCACTCGTCGCGCTCGGAGGTGCACAGCCACGTCGCCGTCATCTCGTTCTGCACACAACAAGCTTGGGTCTTGGTGCCGACACCAGGGGCCATACTTTCAAAACTCGCTAAGTGAACGTAAGCACTTACGCTCTATTTTTTTGTCTATGATTGGTGGATTTTGCTTGAAAGACCGTCTATGATTGGCTGATGAACTTACGATCTCTTAACTTTTTTTTGAAAGTATGGGCCCAGCTCACATACGCGCATAAGATAACAGACTAGTTAGGCTAGGTAAGATAAAACCATATACCGTAAGATAAAAGACAATGCACAACAACATTTACCTTCGCGAGGGTACCGCCCCACACAAACAATTTGGTGAAGAAACCTGCTCTCCTCCCGAAGATATTTACGAGGGCATCGGCCCTTTTTACCCACTTCAACGCTACACCACTCAAAAACCACAAAAATTTTGGTGATTGGTAATAGTAACGGCACTTCCAACCCATCTCTACAACAGCAACACCCCTTGATCCACCAGAACGGCGACGCTCTTGTCCCAACCCACCTCGATGATGGGACTAACCATTCCCCTTCACCCACAACAACCCGCCTTGGTGATAGCATCCATACCCACACTGGTGGGGACATCGCCCTAAGACCCACCTTGGTGAGAGAGCCACCAACTGGCACCTAAGACTTGGTGAGAGAGCCACCAACTGGCACCTAAGACTTGGTGAGAGAGCCACCAACTGGCACCTAAGACTTGGTGAGAGAGCCATCAACTGGCACCTAAGACTTGGTGAGAGAGCCCACCAACTGGCACCTAAGACTTGGTGAGAGAGCCCACCAACTGGCACCTAAGACGCACCTTGGTGAGAGTGCCGGTCTTGTCAGAGCAGATGGTGGTGACGCAGCCGAGGGTCTCGACGGTGTGCAGGCCCTTGACGAGGGCGCTACGCTGCGCCATGCGCCGTATGCCGAGGCACAGCGTCATCGTCACTACGATCGGCAGACCTTCAGGGATCGCCGCCACCGCCAGCGATACCGCAATGTTGAAGATCTGCAATAACAATGTCGTTATGATGTGCAATAATAATGTCATTATGATGTGCAATAATAATGGCGTTATGATCTGCAGTAACAATGTCGTTAAAATCTCCAATGGAAATGATACGTTGACAGGCTTCAATAGTGACTACATGATGATATTTTTGATGATTTACACGAGTTTAATAGCTGAGAAAATGGCATGAAAATTTTCATATTTCAAAATAAAAATGTTCCGAAGGCTAACTCCCAACAAGAACATTCTTAAGAAAGTTTTCCCGCAAGGATTACTAATATTGTAAGAGTTACGTGAAGGCACACAGCTGAACGCGGTGGCCGGGCAAGAAAGTTTTTAGTATGATAGCTGAAATCTTGCTTCAACGACGCGCACAGTTCTTAGCGGCTTGTTATTATTTAAAGATTCTTAATTAATCCTCACTTTTGGGTCAATCGTCTGTTTATGCTTTAATTTCTACCGCATAAAATTTGTCACTATAATTAAGTATTATTGATTTTTTGAACTGGTGATGAAGCTGGCCGCCAAATGTTTTCTTTGATATTTTTGTCCATTTTACTGGAATTTTCGCCATACAAATTTTTATTCCGAAACACCATTTAACTTCAATCTTATCATCCGCATTGGAGATCTTTGTATTCAAGGTTCAGAAAATCTCCGATATAATTCCAGAGCAAGAGGAGAAAAAACGTATATAATTGTATAATATTGAACATTAAGTTGAGATGAATCACCTTCTGTAGGGGGATGCCCTGGTACAGCCCCAGGCCGAACACGACGGAGATGAAGGCGAAGGAGAATATGGAGAGCTTCTTGGCGAGCTTGTCCATGTTGAGCTGCAGGGGCGTGCGCGGGGCCTCCTCGTCCTGCATCAGGCGGAACAGCTTGCCGAACTGACTGCGCTCGCCTGTACATGAGTTATATGGCTACAGTTAGTGATACATGGCTGCCATATGGCTACAGTTAGTGATACATGGCTATGTGATACATGGCTGCCATATGGCTGCAGTTAGTGATACATGGCTGCCATATGGCTACAGTTAGTGGTACATGGCTGCCATATGGCTACAGTTAGTCAAACATGCCACAAATCAATTATTAATTTAAATGTTTTAAATTAAATGCAATTCTAATCATATCCTGATCAATAATTTTATGAAGAAATTAGAAGTACCTAGTAATTGTAATTTCTCATTTGTGTTCTAGATGATGCTAATTAACGTACAGCAAATGTGATTGAAAGATACGATTTTCAATTCATGAAATTTAAGACAATTCTGCGCTCACGGTCAATAACACACAATGACGAGGCATATTATTAACTAGCTAATTAAATTGAAGACAACTCTGCGTTCACGGTCAATAAGGCACCATATCACAGCGCATTAATAACTAAATTTAAGACAACTCTGCGCTCACGGTCAATAAGGCACCATATCAAGGCATATCAATAACTAATTAAAGAGTGAACCTGTGTTGATGACGATGCCCTTGCCGCGGCCGGTGCGCACGAAGGTGCCCATGTAGGCAATGTTGGGGAGGCTAGAGCTGCTGTTGCCGTCTGGCACGCCCACCGTCGTGCCGTTCACAGCTCCTCCACACCACCCCTCCTGTCTCTTATACACATCTAGATGTGTATAAGAGACAGATACATGGCCGCCATATGGCTACAGTTAGTGATACATGGCCGCCATATGGCTGCAGTTAGTGATACATGGCTGCCATATGGCTACAGTTAGTGATACATGGCTGCCATATGGCTACAGTTAGTGATACATGGCAGCCATATGGCTGCAGTTAGTGATACATGGCTGCCATATGGCTACAGTTCTGTCTCTTATACACATCTAGATGTGTATAAGAGACAGTAGTGATACATGGCTGCCATATGGCTTCAGTTAGTGATACATGGCTGCCATATGGCTGCAGTTTGTCAAACATGCCACAAATAAAGTGTTAGTTTCAACATTGTAAATTAATGCGATTCCAATGTTATCCTGATCAATAATCATTACAAAGAAATTCGAAGTCATAATTGTTATTTTTCAGTTTGTTGAAGGCAATGTTAATTAACGTACAACACATGTGATCGTTAATACGATTTTCGACTAATCAAATTTAAGACAACTCTGCGCTCACGGTCAATAAGGCACCATATCAAGGTGTATTAATAACTAACCAAATTTAAGACAACTCTGCGCTCACGGTCAATAAAGCACCATGTCAAGGCGCATTACTAACTAATTAAATTTAAGACAACTCTGCGCTCACGGTCAATAAGGCACCATATCACAGCGCATTAATAACTAAATTTAAGACAACTCTGCGCTCACGGTCAATAAGGCACCATATCACAGCGCATTAATAACTAAATTTAAGACAACTCTGCGCTCACGGTCAATAAGGCACCATATCACAGCGCATTAATAACTAAATTTAAGACAACTCTGCGCTCACGGTCAATAAGGCACCATATCACAGCGCATTAATAACTAAATTTAAGACAACTCTGCGCTCACGGTCAATAAGGCACCATATCAAGGCATAATAATAACTAACTAAATTTAAGACAACTCTGCGCTCACGGTCAATAAGGCACCATATCAAGGTGTATTAATAACTAACCAAATTTAAGACAACTCTGCGCTCACGGTCAATAACACACCATTACAAGGCGTATCAATAACTATTTAAAGAGTGAACCTGTGTTGATGACGACGCCCCTTTAATACGATTTATCAAATTTAAGACAACTCTGCGCTCACGGTTAATAACGCACCATATCACAGCGTATCAATAAGTAATTAAAGAGTGAACCTGTGTTGATGACGATGCCCTTGCCGCGGCCGGTGCGCACGAAGGTGCCCATGTAGGCAATGTTGGGGAGGCTAGAGCTGCTGTTGCCGTCCGGCACGCACACCGTCGTGCCGTTCACAGCTCCTCCACACCACACCTCCGCGCTCTGAAGTGTACAACTCTTACTAATACTTTTACTCTTACTCTTACTTTTACTCTTACTCTTGTTTTTACTCTTACTCTTGCTTTTACTCTTACTCTTGCTTTTACTCTTACTCTTGCTTTTATTCTTACTCTTACCTTTACTCTTACTCATGCGGACATGAAACTTTGTAATATAACGGCGAGGCATCCTTTGATAATTAATAAGATAATTTCTTATATTAATTTGTTTTATGAATTGTAATTTGTTATATTAATTCATAAATAATTGATTATTATAATTAAAATAAATAATTTTAATTAATAATTATAATTAAAATAATTAAAAATAATAATTAATAGAACAAGTTACAATAATTGATTGTAACTTGTTCTATTAATTGCCGCAGAAAATATGTTATAATGATTGCGTGCTTAGTGTCTAAGACATCTTACATGCAACAAATAGTCAGCCACCCTCCAGACACACCACCCTCCAGACACACCACCCTCCAGACACACCACCCTCTAGACACACCACCCTCTAGATACACTACCCTCTAGATACACTACCCTCTAGACACACCACCCTCTAGACACACCACCCTCTAGACACACCTCCAGATACACCACCCCCAGACACACCACCAGACACACCACCTTGGCGGCAGGCTCGGTCTCGCCAGTAAAGCTGCTCTCGTCGACACACCACCCCCTAGACACACCACCTTCAGACACACCACCAGACACACCACCTTGGCGGCAGGCTCGGTCTCGCCAGTAAAGCTGCTCTCGTCGACACACCACCCTCTAGACACACCACCTTCAGACACACCACCAGACACACCACCTTGGCGGCAGGCTCGGTCTCGCCAGTAAAGCTGCTCTCGTCGACACACCACCCCCTAGACACACCACCTTCAGACACACCACCCCCAGACACACCACCAGACACACCACCTTGGCGGCAGGCTCGGTCTCGCCAGTAAAGCTGCTCTCGTCGACACACCCCCCCCTAGACACACCACCTTCAGACACACCACCAGACACACCACCTTGGCGGCAGGCTCGGTCTCGCCAGTAAAGCTGCTCTCGTCGACACACCACCCTCTAGACACACCACCCTATAGACACACCACCCCCTAGACACACCACCTTCAGACACACCACCTTCAGACGCACCACCAGACACACCACCTTGGGGGCAGGCTCGGTCTCGCCAGTGAAGCTGCTCTCGTCGACGCAGAGCTGCGTGGCCTGGAAGAGTCGCACGTCAGAAGGCACGCGGTCTCCTATGCCGAGGTGTACCACGTCCCCAGGCACCAGCTCCCGCGCCTGGTACTCCCGTACAGCGCCCTCACGCAGGCACATGCACGTCGCCGGCACCTGGGGCAAGACACGGTTTAACAATATGCAAGATATTTTCCGGACATTTATAACTATGGTAATAATATGCTAGATATTTTCCGGGGACATTAATAGCTATCGTAATAATATGCTAGATATTTTCCGGGGACATTAATAGCTACCGGTATCGTAATAATATGCTAGATATTTTCCGGGGGCATTTATAGATAGCGTAATAATATGCTAGATAATTTTAAGGGCATTTACAGCTATCGTACTAATATGCAAGATATTTTTCGGGGCATTTATAGCTATTGTAACACATAATATCAACATTATTTGTGCATATAACGTTCTCGAATTGAAGCCTTGCCTGGATTTTATCACCATTATAATACTAAACAGGGTTCCTGTTAGTTATAAAAAAAGTTATTGACTTGTAATTTCAATATATGAAGTTCCAAACCCGTGCATGACAGCTAGCGGGTTTTCTTATGAGCCAGATGCTAATACCCAGGTCCAGATTTGAGACCCATTTCTTCGTCCCCCCAGTCGTCGACATGCAAGACATCCTCGCCACTGGGCAACGAAAAGGTGTATCGTAGAGCGTAGCCAACTAGCAAATAAATGCCTTAAGTTGAGCAAGCTGCTGCAGCTATTTCTAGTTAATATTGATGAGGAATAAGCGTACGATCAGGGATTGTGCTCAGAAACGTTTCCAATCGTCCAGAGGTCAAGCAGCCTCGGTTTCAAGCAAGAGATCTCTCATGAAGTGTCTCAACTTCGATCGTAGCTCGGTTGTTCGATGGGATATCCTGTCTCCTCTACTCTCACTATGAAATATCGCGATCAAGGACGCATCGAAATCAATTTAGAAGCCAGTCCGTTTACCAGCTACCAATGGTACAGTATGATATCCCTCTCTCTTTTCTTCTCCAGTGAGTACAGTCCCAGATGCTCCAACCTGTTCCGGTAGTCCAGGTCCTCATTTCTCTAATTCTGGACATAAAGGTCCGTTGGACGGCTTCCCATTGCCGCACATTGCATTTAGCGGCATCCACAGCTGGCAGCAGTACTCCAGAATTGGGGACACGAGGGCTCTGAAGAGTGTAATCTTTGGTGCGCCGCTTCTCTTGTTTCAAATTTCCGCCAGATTCACCCCATCTGTGGTCTTTCACACGCAACTATTGCCGTGGTGTGGTCCTTAAATGTTCCTTAGTTACTGCGAGGTCGCGAGCCAGTTGCATCTAAAATATTTCTGCACCGTACGTTTCAAGTAGCGGAGCCTTATCCCAAACATTACCACAGCTCGCTATCTCAGCACTTAGACCTAGCTGCAATTAAATTATAATTTATTCTATCGGACCCAGTCGCAGATTATTTCTAAAAAACATGAAGCTTCTAGAAAGTCAGTTCGTCGGCAATACTCATCAGCAATCTTGTCCGCAAATTACGATACAGATGCATGGATCGATTCTTCATTAATGTCGGCGATGTGATTGAGGATAAGGATCGTTCCTGCACCGAACTGTCGCCTCACACACGTAACCCGCGCCTCGCTCGGTCCACGCACTGAACCTTGAGGCCTCACACACGTTTATGCTAGATATTTTCCGGGGGCATTTATAGCTATCGTAATAATACTATGCAAGATATTTTCTGGAGACATTTATAGCTATCGTAATAATATGCATGATATTTTCCGGGGCATTTATAGCTATTGTAACACATAATATCAACATTAATTGTGCATACAATGGTCCCGAATTAAATACTCGCCTTGATTTTGTCATGTTACCAGTATAATACTAACAGGGTTCCTATTAGTTACACAAAAGTGTTTGAGTTATAATGTCAATTATGGAAGGTCCGAGCCCGTGCACGACAGCTAGCCAATACCAATTCTTATAAGCCAGATGCCAATGGCCAAGTCAAGATTTGATGCCCATATTCCTCTCTTCATCCCAAATTCGTGGACATCCAAGACATCCTCGCCACTGGGCCTCGAAGGGGGTAACGTAGAGCGAAACTAACTAGCACATTAATGACTTGAGTTGAGCAAGCTGATGCAGCATATCTAGCTGATATTGCTGAGGAATAAGCGAACGATCAGGGTTTGTGCTCAGGAACGTTTCCAATCGTCCAGAGGTCAAGCAACATCGGTTTCAAGTAAGAGATCTCTCATGAAGTGTCTCAACTTCGAACGTAGCTCGGTTGTTCGATGGGGTCTCCTGTCCCTTTCCTCTCACTGGAAAAGTCGCGATTATGGAGGCATCGAATTCAATTTAGGAGCCAGTCCGGTTACCAACTACCAAGTGAACAGTAAGATATACCTACCTCTCTTTTCCTCTCCAGTGAGTACAGACAGTCCCAGTCCAGCGTTCCAACTGGACTACGGAGACAGTACAGTCCAACCTGTCTCCGTAGTCCAGATCCTCATTTCTCTAATTCTGGACGTGAAGGTCCGTTGGACGGCTTCCCATTGCCTCATAGTGCCGCATTTAGCGGCATCCACAGCTAGCAGCAGTACTCCAGACATGAGGGCTCTGAAGAGTGTAATCATTGGCGCGCCGCTTCTATTGTTTTAAATTTCCGCCAGATCCAACTCATCTGTTGTCTTTCACGCGCAACTATTGCTGCGATGTGGTCCTTAAATGTCCCTTCGTTACTGAGAGGTCGCGAACCAGTTACATCTCAAATATTTCTGTGCCGTACGGTTCAAGTAACAGAGCCTTATCATAAACATTACACCAGCTCGTTATCTCAGTCAGCACTTCCACCTTGGTGCAATTAAATTGTATTTTATTCCCTCTGGCCCAGTCGCATATTGTTTACAAAAAAAACCTGAATCCTCTAGAAAGTCAATTCATCTGCAATGCATTCTTGTCCGCATTCTTGTATCAGCATTCTTGTCCGCAAATGACGATATAGATGCATGGATCGACTCAGCATTAATGTCGGCGATGATTGAGGATCAGGATCTTTCAAGCACCGAACCTTGTCGCCCCACACACGTAACCCAGACATCGCTCAATTTGGATGTCCCACATACATTCATGTAGGTATGTGGGATGAATTTATGTATACATTCATGTAGGTATGTTTCATACATTTGAATGTCGTACATACCTGCTTCTTGAGCTCCTCGAGGGCTCGGTCGGTGCGCATCTCCTGAACGAAGGCCACCGTCGCGACGATGATGATGGCAAGGGTGATGACGACAGCATCGTCCAGCTGACGCATCACCACTGACACGCCCGCTGACACCAGCAGCAGTAATATCAGCGGCTCCTTGAACTGCACAGCGAACACAATTTAGTTCCCTGAATTATGGTGAATTAAATATTGACTACTAGACTCGACTACGAGCAATGAGCTAATTGAAAAAAATACAGAGCACAAATCCACATATTCAATAATGAATATAAAAGTAATATAGAAATCTTAGCAAATAGGGTACGCAATATTTAAACAAGATCTGATATAGGTATAGGTATTCACCTGTCCGAGATATTTCTTCCAGAGCGGCTCGTCGACAGTCTCGCTGAACTGGTTGTAGCCGACCGTCCTCCTCCTGAGCTGCACGTCGCTCTCGGACAGCCCTCTCGTCACGTTGCTCGAGAGCTGCGACACCACGTCACGCCACTCCTGACGAGCGGCCTCACTGCACCCCATCCACATGGCGCCTCCGCCTTCTGCGTCGCCTGCGTTACCGCCGCCGCCGCCGTCTTCGTTGTTGAGATGGCCCAGGCTGATGGTGAGCTGCGTGCCCGACACTGGCGGCGGGCTCTGTGGAGGAGGCGGACCTGAATACCGGTACATGACGGGAGAAAGAGGACATAGCAGCGGCACTGAACACATGGCGGGAGAAAGAGGACATAGCGGCGGCACTGAATACAGCATTGAAAAGGCATGCGTCATCCGTCTTACTTAAACACACGTAACACACTTCATCTTCCATTCTGACATACACGATACCAACTTCAATGCTAAGGTCCGGTGCTACAATCAGATTCGCTCACGTTGGAAAAGTGAGCTTCCAAACCCACTTCAACTTCATACTATACTCATTTGTGTTCGAAATAATTGTAATTTGAAGTACTTATATGTGATATAGACATATATAAGCCAAGGCTCAATTCATTTAAGAGCATCATCTTTGCGACAGGTTGGACCTACAGGCCGAACCTACCAATTTAACTCACAAGCTCTGAATCATGTTACGTGTTTCTCATCTTCCGCTACTAGAAACAGAATTACTAAATTACGGTTTATTCATGTTAGACTGCCTTTTATGCTTGACTAATGAATTCTCTAGTATTATCGACTGAATACTTGCATCCACTCCAAACTTACGAGCCGCATAACCTCGACAAGCTTGCAAGCGGAGGGGAGGCTCAATAGCGGCGGCACTGAACACAGCAGCGGGTGGAGGGGAGGCTCAATAGCGGCGGCACTGAACACAGCAGCGGGTGGAGGGGAGGCTCAATAGCGGCGGCACTGAACACAGCAGCGGGAGGAGGGGAGGCTCAATAATAGTGACAATTTGCTTCCAAACTAAAGGGATCGATGCTACTCTCAACCTGGGTCACAATAAAAAATACAAAGCAAAAAGTATAATAAAACACAAAAGCGAACTTTGAATACTTAGTTCAAGTTTCAAGTTGTAAGTTAAATACAAATATTTCCTTTGCAAGGATGGTTTAAAACGAGAAAAATGTTAGCAAGTGGCAAAGAACCCATTGAAAAATTCGCTGTACTTACAAATTCGATTTTGTTCTTCATTTGAAGGTACTTTATAGTTTGAACCGTAATTTAAAAGAAGTTCTAGGTACCATAAACGCTATTCCATACAGACGTTGGTTTCGAGTGTCTACAATACTGAGTAACTAATGATTTATGCTAAGCACCTAAGTTAATCTCACACTCTGGAAAACATTAAAATTATTCACCAAGTACAACGGTAATTAATCCACGATTATTATTAAATTTAATCGATTGAATTAAAGTAAACTTTCAGTTACATTTCCATTGATTACTAACAAAAGGTTACGTTAGCCACGTGAGAGATAAGTGTTCCTTGTTCACTTAATTCACCGAATTAAGAAAAAGCTGTGTAACAATACGACAGATTTGCCATGAAAACATGGTTCACAACGCATGCCTAAAGTGAACTTTGAAGTTAAGTACTTTGATGCGAAAGAATTAAATAGGATGTCCACTTGTTTTCTCATATTCTCCATTTATGTCATTTATCCAAGCCCCTAATGAAATGATCAAGGAAACGAATGCAAGTGAACTTCTAGTAATTTGTATTGAGCGTGAACACTTCCTTGTAACACCAACACATCAATTCAATGCATATGAGATGCATTGCCAAGCAAATTAAATGACAAAAAATGGTATAGTCAACGTTCGTTATAAATTTAAATTCCTTCTATTTCTCGTCAAAAGTGCACGCATCGTAAATAAGCGGATGAGAGAAGTTTAAACTTTCTTCATTAATGTACAATAGCGGAATAGTAATAGAGAAACAAATGCACTAATGTGTCCATTAACAGCGACATTGCAGCAGCGAGTGTCGGCGCAATGCCAGTGACATGCAAGACTACCACCATGGCCACGTGGGAACTGTTCCAAATGTGCGCGTAGGCCCACGTATCTAACACCTGCTTAAACACGGTAAAATATTTACATCTTATGAGGTCATTCATTATGAGTGTCCTTCGTTTATAGAAGTGAAGGTAAACACGCCGGCAATGATCGATTGATATCGATTTTCTATACATGTTCATGATTGTCATTTGCGGGTTTGGGCTGGATAAAAGTAGCATTTTATTAATGAAACTGTGATAATTTTCTCTTGCGGAGCAAGTTGTTTCAATTTTCTAGGTTACTAGACGCTCATAAGATACAGTTCTTAATGAAACAATTGTAACTAACGAATTACATCTTCCGTCGAAAATTCATGAAGGATATCAGCACCAGTGCGACATATACATTTCTCAAAGATTTGCTTAGAATATCTTTAGTGATTCTCGATGCGGTTCATACACGATTTCGAGTCATAAACCACGAAACCCCAACATTAGGCAGAGCGTGGTAATTTGCTTAGAAAGTTAGAATATCTTTAGTAATTATTATCAATGCGATTCGTACACGATTTCGAGTCATAAACCACGAATCCATAACATTAGACAGAGCGTGGTAATTTTAAATATGAATGACATCGTGTATACTTGAAGGTAGCAGCTATTGAGGGGGGCGCGATCGATATTGAGACGCGCTTGGTCCTTCACAAAGAGGCTACACTCAGAAAAAGTGATAATCATATTGTCGAAATAGTGACTCAATTGCAGCGTATAGCATTGATACATCATATTTCTGGGCCAAACTGGAACAAGTGAACATTTGAACAAGATCTCTTTAATGAATCTGAATGTACGTCATCGCTGGGAGCTGTCAATGCCGGTAGACATGACGTGTGATGTCACATGATTGTCTCGCGCACACGTCGTTATCTGTTGTCGTCTTATCACTACTTTGTAAATGGAAGTTTATTGCACGCTTACTGCACTCTGCATCGTCTGCTTCACTCTACTATCTTAATGCACGTCACTGCACGCTTGCCACGATGCATCGTCTGCTTCACTCTACTTTGTTGCTGCACGTCACTGCACGCTTGCCACGATGCATCGTCTGCATCACTCTACTTTGTTGCTGCACGTCACTGCACGCTTGCCACGCTCTGCATCGTCTGCTTCACTCTACTTTGTTGCTGCACGTCACTGCACGCTTGCCACGATGCATCGTCTGCTTCATTCTACTTTGTTGTTGCACGTCACTGCACGCTTGTCACGCTCTGCATCGTCTGCTTCACTCTACTTTCTTAATGGACGTCATCNGCTTGTCACGCTCTGCATCGTCTGCTTCACTCTACTTTGTTGTTGCACGTCACCGCACGCTTGCCACGATGCATCGTCTGCTTCACTCTACTTTCTTAATGGACGTCATCGCACACTCACAAAATAAATGAGGTATCTAAAGGATTATGCAATCATTTTAGGAAAGATTTGGAGGCACATGACCGGTGGGAAACTCGACGCCTGTCACTTCTCATGAGACGCGCCTGGGAGAAAACAACTGCGGCCTACACCACGACTTGTCCTTAGTCCTATTTTTTTTATATAGTTGGATATAATTTAAGTTATTTTACTTAACGAGGAAAATTATTGACGGAAGTATGGCAGTTTATGTCATGATTAGAACTTGAGGGTTACGAGACGCAGCCATGAAGGTCAGACACGAGAGTGAAGTACAGTTAAACAACATACACCACGACTTGTCCTTAGAACTTCTGCCCTTAAAAAGCGATTCAAGGGGTGAGAGGTGATATATATGCAGGGTGATTCACTTCCATGGCGCTGCTGCCAAATTCAATGCGCGCTCTGAGATGCACGTGGAGTTGTTCATAGTACGGTATATGATTCAGTCTAAGATAATTATTATTAATGCAGTGCATTAGTACTCATAATAACCATTATTATTTATATAATTATATTACCAATTATTACGGTGCTTCACTAATAATTATTAATAATTCATTTTTATTGTAATTATTATTAACAATAAGTATTAATAATCATTATGAATGCAGCGCATTATTGATAAGATAAATCAGTCTAAGATAATTATTAATACTAACTCATCAATACCTGGCGTGTATATGTTAGGTGGTGTTAAAGTTTTGGAATTGGTGGAGGCGTGATTAAGCATATTGCTGCCATGAAACAGGCCTATTTCTACCGTACATGTATACGATGCATAATTAGAACAATAGTTAAAGCCAAGGTAAAAGTTTTGTTTATTTTTCGGTTCATTTCCTGATCTTAATCCGAAGAATGAGTAATTTCAAACTTTAAAATAGTCAGCCTCAGAAGAGCTTTTGATCGTATAAATAAAACTGCATTACATTATAAGAAAGCAGCAGACATTTCCACCCAATAGTCATGGAATTATACACTTCACCATAAGACAAATCGAGGACAAATGACCACCAGTCACAGCTCGACGTATTCATTTAGGTGACCACACATAGACAATTTTATAGAAGACGATGTTAAGAAAGAAAGACGGGCACATACCAGGTAAGGTAACGTATTTGAGCTCCATGCCACGCTATTATAACGCGGTACTAGCGGAGCTTGACGATCCCCGAGGCGTCTAGCGGATAACCTCATCTTTTACGTAGTCTTGGGCGCACAGGTGTCACAACAACGATCTCGCCTTACTTATGGGTTGGGTTAAATAATACGTCAAGTCCGATACAATTTACACAATCACTACTCGAGAGCTCCGATCGTGAATTCAAAATTTGGCGAGACTTTAAAACGTGAATTACGCCAGGGTTTTCAGATAATTTTCGGACTGTGGTCACCGTGATGCAACGTACCGAATAATACTGACGCGGCCTTGATACTTGATCGCAACTTGGTAATTTCTTATCGATCATCCAGAGAGTGGGCTTTGGATCGCTCTTAGTCAGGCCTAGTGAAGGACCTCTGCAGATAAACAACAAGTCAAGAACACGATAACGAGTTCAACAGATAATTGCTCAGAAGACGACCTCAGCAGCAGCAACAACCTTTAGTTAACTTCTACATATACTTGTGCACGCCTACGGTATATTTCTGCAAGGACGTGTTTTCTGAATTGAGTCTAATTAAACAACAAATGAACAATTCTCATTTTTTAATTACAACAATATAAGCATCTAAAACAGTTTTAACCTTTAATGAGTGAATAAGAACTGAAATTGATAATGTATTATAAATATTTTATTGAACTAATTCATCTTATTTGATCATTTATTTCCATCGCCCAGACTCTAAATAATGTCTTGTTGCCCGAGTTTGAAATGAGTTGTAAAATTTAATCTTAATTTTATAGAAATTTGGGCTGACCAGGCAACAGGATGGTGTGGATGACTTCTCATGCATTTTTTTACATTCATGTAATTTGAGATTTGCCCCTGTCCAAAGATTCTATTCAAGACATGTTCAACCATTAGAAAACATGCAAAGCAGCTCTTTTCTACTTATGTGTAACAAATGTTAGAGGCGGTGATCCATCCTGGCGTGGTACTGCTACGTCCATAACAAATACTAAGCAATGCATACACATTCATTCATGCTGCCGCACAAAAGCCCAACTAAATTTGATGCATGGTTGAGTGTAATTCTTACCAGTGCACCAGGAGTATATACGGCACCTTCCAACCTAGGACATGAATATTATTGCATCAGTCCAATGCGGTCATCAACCAGCCTTATTCTTCACCACCCAGCCTCTGAGGTCATAGAGGAGCATTCATGACAGTGGTGGCTGTGCAATGACACAATTGTATCCCCTTGCCACGCGACTACCGTATGCACCTACGCATTTTATTAACCATACAAATGTTCAATGCTTATTGCTGCTGACAGTGGTAGCACATGCATGCAGCTGTGCAATGAGGCAATCGTAACCCATCACTATGATGTATCACCTACTCTATCAATGTAGATGTGTGTATTAATACATATAATCAGAGCTTGCTGCCATCAACAGTGCTGGCAGCAGCAGTTGTGGGATGACAAGAATGAATCCCTGGGCCTTGTGGCCAAGCATGTTCAATATTAGTGAACGTTGCTGCATTCAATGCCCGCTCTGCAAGGCCATCAAAAACACTTGATCAGATAGAGAAAATCCTGCACCTGTTTATTGCTTTCAGGAAGCTCACTTTGCTTGGGAAAATTCCCCACAAACCTACATCTTCCTGAGAGTGGCATCTTATAGGTAATTAGGTAATTTTTGAAAATACCCAAGAAATTAGGCAA